ACCCCAGAAGTGTGAGTTCGGGCACCAGTCAATAAGCGAAGAGCCATGTTGGCAATGATTCCCAAGATCAAGAATTTAAAGCTGGAACAAAGAGAATGTTTATCAAGGGGAAAGACGTTATTGCCCTTCTTCCTATGGGATTTGGGAAAAACTACCAAATAACAGTGATTGGTTAAATAAAAAAAAGCACCTGCCTACTGTTGAGTGAACCAATCCTAATGTTGCGAGGTCAGACGGTTTCTACAAAGTGAAACCAGCTGATGAATCAAGCTAAAATTATCTACCAATGGAACAAGACTATTTATACTTAAAATATGAAAATACATCTTGCTACACTTAAAATAATAAACAAAATCAAATGTTGCTTGAAATTAAGAAAATCACACTTATTCCATTGGTAGATCATTTTACTTGTCAAGTTGAATCTACTCAAATAAAGTAAAATATTCTCAATTTCAATCATTTTAACATACCTAGATATCGTTTTTTTTCCCAGTGATAAATGTAAAGGCAGAGCTGTTTAATGTCATACTGTGGAACATTCCAGGCATATCCATAGAAACAAGCAAGTGATGGACCCCTCCAACCAGAAAGTTACAGAGTGCAACTTTACATCTTCGAGCACAAAATATTAAAATTGAAAAGGGAAAAAAAAAAAAAAAAAAAAAAAGAGAAAAAAAAAAAGAGAGAAATTGCAGTTTCTTTTACAGCAATACTAATACTACCATAGAGCTTTGACCTTCATCTTAATTTTCTGAATAATGACATTACGCGATCCTAGCACACATACTCTAAAATTCAGTGGGTGTCAGTATGTAAAATTATCATGAGTGCATGTCATACCACACACTCCTAATGGGACTGAAAGAACCGGAGTATCTCAGATGAGTCATTGCAATCATCTTTTCCATTGATTTGTATGAGATTTAATCAAAGTGGAATGCACTCAGCCTGGGAGTGAAAAATACCTAAAACCAAAGTTCAAAAGCTGAGTGTAAATGGACAAAGTGTTCCCACCATTAGCCGTGATACTGTTTATAATTCAATATCAACTTTTCAAAACGTTTCATAAAAGCTATGCAGATAAGAAGCTGTGGGCAAGGTCAAATAGGCAAAATAAAAAATAAAAAATAGGAAGAACAGCAACTTGTTAAATCATTGCATGTAGTATGATAAAATGTTTTAGATAAATATGATTGGCAGTTGTGAAGTTTGAAGTAGTGGGCACTGACAGGTTTTGAAATGGTAAAATAAACAAAGAAATACTCCCTGATCTGTGGGCGGGCTTTGATTCCCATCAATCAAAAGTCACACAGTTGTACAAGTTTTTATGGTAACACTGGATATAAACATTTAACCTCATTAGCATTGGCTGATAAGAAAAAAACAATAAATAACAACTACAGATATTTGAGACTATATCTATTGATTTCAGGATGATGCCAGTGTAGCAGGGGGAAGGCAAGTACGGCATCTCCGCATACATATATTTAGTTATAACGCAAGCAAGTCTAGCAAAAACATAGGACAAAAGCAGTAAATAGTGGAAAAAATACAATTCTTTATTCAGTTAACAATAATATTAAAAAGTACACATTTAAAAACAATTTGGACCTAAAATCTGGGATCCAACTAAACTAAATCACACACACACTGAAATTTGTAATGCAAAAACCCAAAGATGAATCAAACCAAACAACCAGTTGAATCCCAGATTTCAGTACCCAAAATTTTAGTGGTGTGCAAATATAAAAAGGTGCTATAGTATTTTTACCTGATCTCCAAAGGGTTGACCAGGTTTTGTATTCACGCCGTGTGTGTGTCTGTCCACCCGCGATAATTCCACCATTTATGGACCGATTGTCACCAAATTTGGTAAGTAGGTCAAGCCCCCATGTTCGATGAGCCGCAAAAAAGTTTGGTGATGATCCGAGGTCATTTGAGGTCACACGGGTCAATTGAAAGTTCACGCCATTATTATTATTTCTGAACCATCTGCAGGCTAAAATATTCACCCAATCATCACACAAGTTGGCGCATACATGGATGTTACAGGTTGAAACCGGTCAAGGTCAGCTGAAGGTCAAGATAACCAAGTTCAAATATGCGTTTTTGGTCATAACTCCGCAAAGGATCGAGCCAGAGCAACGGGAGTGCTCTCAAAATCTCAAAAAAAGAAAATTATCTATTTATTATTTGATGCATGTGTATAGTAAAATATTAATAGTTTTTCGAGGTAATCACTAATTATAACAGTTCCTTCCTTTTTCAGTGTATGCTGTTAAAATTCTAATTGCAACAAAAATAATTTCTTCTTTTTCTGGTGACACGCAAAACATTGATCTACAGTCACAGAACTAACATATACAGAACTCACGAAAAATTACATTTTTGTTACACGCGAGTAAACACAGACATTCTGATGTGTGACCAATATCACACTAATGTTCATGGGCACTGTACAGCTACACACATTGCATTGTGGATATAATGATCATGTAATATGGGCTGGGCTCCTCATAAGCTGGTGTCCGTGGTGATGAACTGCCCCCACTGATGCCTCATGGTGGACCAGGTTGCCATCTCTGATTGCGCTTGTTCTTAGATGTAAAGTGCTAGGTGTGTGGTCTTAAAGTGCTCTGAAAATGTAGATGTTTTAAAGTGCTAATGCATTGCACTATCCTCTATTATTGCACAAACTACCCCAGCCAATAAATACAAATATACACACTATAGCAGCTACACTGACTCTACAGATAAAGGAATTTATGGGCAAACTCTGAGATCAGACTTTGCGAGAGAATTCATGAGGATTTAAGAGAATCGAGAGAGAATGTGAGAGCAGAAAAACACAGCAGAAACACAAACCACATAAAAATACACTAATTACCATACAAAGGCCATCAAATGCCACCACAACGCCAAGAGCCTCTACCTAGATTCTAGAAGGAGAGTACCCTACATGGGGCTTGGAGCACGTTGGAAGCAGTTGCCGTCACCACTGCCTATTCCAGACAACACCTTTAAACATAGTAACCAGAAACATCGCATTAAGCCAAGTTCTAAGAGAGACACAGAGAGAAACAACTCCCGATACATACAGTGCTGCCTTCACTAGCCACCAAAAGCCCCGACTGCCACCCTACGGCGTGTGCACCCTTTTCTAATCGATAATCAGTGACTTCGGGTGGCACGCACAGTGATGCACAGGAGGATGCATTCATGGACGCCTTATGGGACGACAAAAAACAACTAGTGCCTGCTAACCGCTCACTTACACCAAGTTCTGTTTTCATTATGATTCACAGTTCAAAGCTTAATATACATGTATATCTATTAAGTGGCCAAAAGTCCTCAAAATGGTATCTATAAACAGCAGACGCGCTCATTGATTTGAACAATATACAGTGACACTTATGATTGTTACAATATATATATTTATTATACACAAATGCTTACTAGGGCTGCACAATTGATCTATCACGCCGGTAAATTGGACTCAAATGCAACATAAGTACTCAGGCAAACAAAGTCTTATTTAAATAACAGAAAGTGTCCTATAACAGGAAATGTTAATAATGACAACTCAGACTGGAAATATAACAGAGGAATATAAGATATTAAATGTGAACAAAATTATCTTCCAAGACTGGGAATACACTAGTAAAAAACACACTGGGAGGAAACTCAGGAACAGGGACAACAAACAGGGAAACTCAGAATTGCGGAAGTCACAAACAGATCAGATTCAGGGAATACAGGGTTTTCAGATTTTGGGTTTTCAGGAGCTTGAATGTCTATCTTAACAGGTAGACAATCTGGCAAAGACTGAGGGAGAAGAGGGAGTATATATAGACTGGGCCTGGACTGATTACAGAATGAGGGGCAGCTGTAGGGAAAGGAGGGAGGTGGCAAAAGGAGGACCGGAACACACTCAGAAATGGAACTGGACTGGGGAAAAAAGTAAACAAAAAGGCAGAACTGTGACATGATCAAAATAACTACAATTATCACACTCAATGTTTACAAAAAATACCAATTGTGATTCACAAATGATCATTTTAATAGCTCTTTTTTTTTGTTTTTTTTTGACAATATTGCAATTTTCAAAAACAGAATAGTATATATTTGTACTTGTTTATTATAGGCACTCAAGTTTATTTGCATAGCACAGCTCGTACACAAAGTAAGTCGAAGTGCTTTACAGAAATAAGAAATACATTAAAATCACAATAAAAACAATCAACATAAAATTAAAAAGAGAGAGAAACATTAAATAAGAGAGAACCATTATACCACGTGGTCTTGCACTAGTTCAAGATGAAAATGTTCAGGAAAGAAAACATTTTATCCAGTTATGTGATTTTTTTTAGTATTGATACTCGCTCAAATGAGTATCCAGTTTTGATGTTAGTTTTAGTATCTATTAGTGTCTGATTTTCCATACTTTTGACAACCCTATGATCTACAGACAATTATGATCTTTTCTAAGTGAAAGTTTGTCTACAGATTGGATCCTTTTTAAATGTAGATGAGGCTCTAGAAAGGCTCCAACTTTCATTGAAATCCACTGTGTGTAACTTTTAGACAACAAAGTAGGCTAAAATAAAAGCATCTTATAATACTCATAATTTAAGTTACAAAATGCTAAGACACTTATTATATTTCTTATAGTTTTTCTTATAATGCCAAACACAAAAATAGAGAAGTTAGCTAATATAAAGCCAACACAGACATTACAGACGAATATGTTGACAAATACCTTCCCTAACATGACATTAGGAGCGACATCGGATGTACGTTTAGGCCAACAGGAAATCAGTCACATCTGTTAAACCACAGGAAACCAACACTGACTCACGACAACAATTTAAAATTTAAAAAACACTGTTCAAAAATAGTTTTATGGATCACAGCATGACATGCATGACTGCTCTGCTGGTGCGGAGGTGAAGGGTGTGGAACTCAGAGACATTTAAATGTTTTTTGTAGTAGCTTGTGTAAAAGTTGGACACTTCCAATGAAGAGTTTGTTGAAGTGATGAAGCAAAAGATGTGTGCAAGCAAGGAAACTGCAGGAATCCAAACTTACAAACCACATTTACTTAAAGGTGCACTGTGTATCTTTTCTGGTGGTCTGTCCGCTCAGTGCTTGTCTGAATGGAATGTGTTAGGCCAAATTAGGTTACAGGCCAGATCTATGGAGAGGAAACAACACTCACAGTAAAAATGTATGTATTTCAAGGTACTTTTGAGCAATAAAAACAACTTAAATTGAATGAATATAAAATGGATACGTTTAATGCCGTACTGTGGAATATTTTAGACAAAGCAATAACATCATTACAAACAAGCAGGTGGCGGACCCTCCTCGGTAATTGTAATTAAGAACATTTTTAGACATTTATCTGTACTTTTACTTGAGTATATTTTTAAGAACGTCGTCCAAAACTGCAAATTACTCAGTTCCCTTGTGTGGGAGATCGGTTATTTTTCAACTAGGGAACTAAAAGTCCAATTTTCAGCCAGTTTTGGGAAGTGCATCAAGTTATTTCATAATTCTGTGCAAATGAATTTCAAGTTATATATGTATATATGATTTTTTTTGTCAGCCTTGTTTGGGCTTGTGAGGCAGTAGTGAAAGGGAGAAAGAGGAAGGCCTGAAAACCTCACACGGGCAATTCACAAAAGAACCTTTCATCAGAGCTGATGACACCGTCACTGTCAACATGAGGAACGCGCTTCTCTTTGTCCTTGTACTGATCACAGGTAAATATTCTCTTTCTGTGATTTTATTTTAATTTAAGACCATTATTATTACCATTATTTATTTCAAATGCTGGGGGTTACTTTGTACTGTCATGAAACTTCCAAAATGGTAAATTCGCAAATGCTGGAGCGGATCATTTCTATCTCTGACCATTTTAACAATATTCATTAGTGAGGCTGATTTAACTTCTATAATCTTTTTTTTATCATGTTGTTTTTATTCTTATGCCCTTGACCCTGACGTTGAATTGATGTTGATTTTGGCTGCAATTTGCTTCCCACCAATTCTGAGGAAGGGTAACCTGACTTTTTGTCTTTGTACGTGATTTTGAAGCCTCTGTGTGTGTGGTGTCAGATCATAACCACCAAACACCAGCAAAGCTACAATAACAGCCAAAAAAGTAAAGCGTCAGGGACAGAAGAGTGATGGACATAGAGACGCAAAATACACACTCCAGCCAAAATAATTAGAGCACTTTACCACTATAGGAGAGGTGAATAATACATTTATTACAAGTGCAGCATCTCATCCACATCATCTATAGAAATTGTCCTCCGCAAATAATGACACCCAGTCCACAAAACATTGATATTAATCCAGTTTGAGGTATTCTTTAAAACTGAAAGGCAAGAGTATTTCCTCACGTGTCTGTTTACATCCACACAGCGCACGGGTTCGAAGTAAAGCTGTACATTAGCAATAGTGACTCTACTTCTTGTGTACGTTATCACTTATCTTTTATGCATAAAAAAAATCATGTATCTGAAGTATTGCACCACATTTCACAAATAATAACACAGTTTTGACTTTTATCTAAACTAGAAGTGCAGTGCTCTTGTAAGATTTTCCTCGTGTCTGTGGTGTTCGCGTTTTGTCGCACATTTAAAAATCGTTTAAGACAGAAAAATCCTGTAGTGTGTGGCAGCCTTTAGATTTAGACCAACTTTACTGATCCATCATCTACAAGTAAAAATAAAAATAATATATAAATATAGTAATACAAATGTATCTCAGCTACGTACAAGAGGTCGTAAGGAGAAACAGTGCAAAGATGATATAAAGGTGAGTTGTTGTACAGTTGTGTGGAGTATGGTATAAATGTAGTCCTGTAACTCTCACTGTTTTAGCAGAGCTGTTCTGCCCTTTTATGGTTAATGTTATGGTTCATTTGCAATTTGTGCCAGACTTGAACCTCACAAAGACCATTCTACTGTTAAAGGTGCGCGGTGTAATTTTTCTGGAGGGGGTCCACAATCTGTTTGTTTCCATGGAGATGTTAATCCTTTGGTTTAAATTGTCCACAGTAGTATTAAACTAATCTGTCTTGCATTTATTAAACTCCAGGTGTTATTTATTGCTGAAAAATATAATACATATATGATACAGTAATCTAAAAGAAAATATCCATTCTTACTGTGAGTGGGGTCGCCTCTCCATAACTCTAACCTGTAATTTGACTTGCAAGTCTGATTCATAATTTTATGGTCATTCTGTGGAACATTCTAGGCAAACAGGTGATGGACCCTCCAACAGTAATCATTGACTGCGGAACAATTGCTCCTTGGGGACCTAATAAAATGCTGTTGTTAAAGATAACGCTTGTATACAGAAGATTGATCTAAAAGTGTAAAATTGAGCTGTTTTGAACAGCAAACTGCATATTTTCTGTCCAAACAGAGTGGGAGATGCAGTGATGTGTATGTGCGTTTGTCGTGTACACATCTGTGACATGACAGTACTCAGTGTTTAAAATGTAACTAATTACGATTACATGGCTAGAATTATACTCAAGTACAAGTATAAGTAAACGTTTTAAAATCTGCTCATCTGTAGTTGAGAGGTTTTTCAAAGTTTGTGAGGGAAAATGCATTAGAGCCAGTGTATGGTGCCTATAGAAGTTATATTTATAAACTGCAAGGGTCAATACAAAATCAATACTAATGCTATAGCCTATTCAAAATAATAATTTAGTGGACGTTTTAATAATTTTTTTTTTTTTTTTTTTGTCTTACAGGATTTGGTGCTTCAGCTGATGTCCATGGGTGTCTTGGAGGCTGGTTTGAATTCACATGTAACTTCAAAAACAATGATAAACAACCCTCAGTTCATACCCCAAGAGGAACATTAAAAAATATAAGCACCAAAAATGAAAACACCTGGAAACTGGACAACACAACTTCACTGTACCACAAGACAACTGACAAAAACTTGACAGTGTCTGTCCAACAACTCACCAACAATGACTTTGATGACTATGAGTGCAAGTGGGAGCCTAAGAAAAAGAAAAAAGAAAAAGAAAAAGAAAAAGAAATAGAAATAAAACTGAAAAAAGGTAGGATCTATCTTAAAATGATTGACCACCAGTGCATTTGACAGGTTTTTCTAATTCTAATTTCTAATTAGTTGGGTGGGATAGTTCCTGTAAATATTTATCACAGTTTTACATCAGCTTTGTGGAAAGAGGTTGAGTTGAGTTTTAAAGCGTAACACAGAAAATCAGGGACAGTTTATGCACAAAGAAGATACTTTTCTAACAGTTTCATTAAGTAAAGTAAACATGTAGCTATTTATCATTCTAATCATAACTGTTAGATATGTAACATTATTCTTGGTAACAGTTACAGATTTACCTCTGCCTATATCATATTTCAAAACATTTTTACGTCTGGTCCCTGACAGTGAATTCTCGTAAGGCCTTTTTAAGCTGTCCTGACATTGTTATTATTGTTTTTGTTTGTTTGTTTGTTTGTTTGTTTTTAGGTAAACACTGCCCCCAACCCTCAAAACTACATGTTAACAGAGGGGCAAAACTTACCATAAACTGTACTATCACCTGTAGTGAGCATGAAGTGAACTTTATCTGCAAAAATAACACATTCACCTGTGACAAGAAGAGCTCAGGACGTAATTACACCATCAGTCATGTGTTAGCAGTGAATCAAGGGGTCTATTTGTGTGGCTGTGAATCACTTAATCCGTATTACAGAGTGTCACGAGAGAAAATACACCTCGGTAAGAGTTCGAGCTGAATTTCCCTCATTTTTTACACACAGATCATCATTGGACATTCTTTTCATTGTAAAACACAATATTGCTCAGAAATGGCTCAAAGGGCCTGTACCTGATGTGTTGTATTGTATTTGATCCAACATTTCTCCTGCCCCAGTACATATATTTTTTTGTATGAGCTGCTCTTGAGGTCAAGTAAGTCCACTGTGTGCAATCTGAACCAAAAAGTGCACTGTTAGCATGCTAGTTGGTACTGTGATGGTAAAGCTCTGGCCTCTGAAAGTTGTGAGCACTCATACGAACTCATCACTGAATAATTGGAATGCTCAAAAGAATAAAGTAAGTGAGGAGTTGCTTCACTTACATTACTTATTACTGCAAACTGTTTAAAATGATCTAGTTCTGGTTATCACATTGTAAGACCTGTTATACCTATTATTGACTTTTAAGTTAAATAATGTAAACAAATGTTTGCTTTTTTTTTTTTATATATATCTTCCATAGTACTTGTCAAGTCACCTACAGCACCACCAAAAATGAATACTGCAAACCCACACATTACTACCACAAAGTCACCACACAGTACAGGTGAGTTAAGCTTGCATTAAAACCGACCTATTATATTATACTTGTTTCCTCTTCTCATTTACCCTCTTGAAGTTGTATTTGGATAGCCTGATTCATCAGCCGGTTTCACTTCTTTTCACTTTGAACAAACCTTTTGACCTCGCAGTGTTAGAATTCGTTTTCTTGATGGTAGGCGGGTACTTTTTATAATTTAACCAATCACTGCTATTTGGTCGTGACTTATGTAATGCGCTGCTAACGGGGCTAACGGGTATATTAAGCTTTTCCCAAATCCCCATAGGAAGAAGGGCAGTAACGTCTTTCCCCTTGATAAAATTCACCAAATATTCTCTTTATTCCAGCTTTAAGTCTCAATCTTGGGAATCGTTGCCAACCCTGAATATATGGCTCTTTGCTGATTGGCTAGTGCCTGAACTTGCACTTCTGGGGTTTTTGCGATTGTATTGTATTTTGATTCCTGACCTAGTCACTGGAGAGAAATGAAATTAAGTGAACTCACTTGGTGGCGCCAGCCTGGCTCGTATTTGGAGTGACTCGTGCATGTTTGAGTAATCTTAAATGACTCATTTCAAGATCCCATATTGCCGATGATCTCTTGTTTTCACCACCACTGCCCTAGTCTGTAAGCCAGGCTGACACCACCTAGTGCCTCCGCTCAATGTCATTTCTCTGCAGTGACTAGGGCAGGAATTGGAATACACTAGACGGTTTGCAAGAACCCCAGAAGTTGTAGACCCGCACACCGGCTAATCAGCGACGAGCTGTGAAGCCATGACGTCAAACTCAAGCACCTGTCTGGTTCCCTTTTGTGGTACAGCACAACAGTAAACAAAGCGGTTGAGATCAATGTAGACAAAGACATACATTCTGTGTTGGCAGTGATTTCCGAAATTGAGGATTTAAAGCAGGAATAAAGAGAATGTTTGGTGAATTTTATCAAGGGGAAAGATGTTATTGCCCTTCTTCTTATAGGGATTTTGGAAAAGCTTAATATACCAGTTAGCCCTGTTAGTGACGCATTACATACGTCACGACCAAATAGCAGCAATTGCTTAAATAAAAAAAGTACCTGCCTACCGTCAAGCGAATGAATCCTAATGCTGCGAGTTCAGACGATTTTCACTAGCTACTGGCTACTAGTCTGTACATTGTTCCCCAATTTTATTTTCTTAATCAGTGATACCAGTAGGATTCGGCAGCATCATTTTGGTACAAAGTTTTTTAAAATCTGCTACTTGCTAGTTTGATGTGCAGCTATCCATCGGAGGTGCTGACATCTACACTTTGTTGTGATGATGTTTACAGTGACGTCTGAGCCTGGAATCGATCTCATGACGCTGGCCAATTAAACCTAATATTGATTTTATTTTTATTTTTACTAATGTTATTCAGTTATTTATTTTTTACATCTTCCATAGTGTCTGCCAAGTCACCTATAGAAACATCTACAAATCCAATTACTTTTACTCCCACACAGTCGCCACAGGGAACAGGTGAGTTGTGAGCCTTTATTTTACTGCAATTTTAAATATATGTAGAGATACTTTCTAAATTGTATTATTATTTTAAAGTGCTGCTGTCTAAATCCTAAAATATACCTTATATCAAATTCCAACAATTTCTAGATTCTAACCAACCAAAATAATTGCCATCTTAATTAAATCTAAATTTAATGTATGGTGACAGGTAACTTAGTGTTGTAGTTTCATTTTGACTTTTCAACTACAGATTAAACTTCTTCAAATTAACGCATACTTCTTAAAATATAACATTTAATACTCATATTAAGTAGAAATAAAGTCATGTTGGACCTTGGTTTGATGGTAGTTCAACAGGAGTTTAAAGGTGCACTGTGTAACATTTTGAGTGGAGGGTCTGCCAACTGCTCGACTCCTTGGAAATGTTCTTGCTTTGCCTGGAATTTTCCACAGTACGGCATTATGTATATTCAGTTGATTTTATTGTCAGGGCAGAACACGCTCCTTTAGCGCTAACAAAATAATTAAAAGGAAAATGCAAAGTGAGTTCTGAATGAGATTTACCTAAACATGAGCAGATAATGCGTCGATAATTGACTGACACATGGGGACAAAGAGAGAGGGGCTCAGGGGGAGACGCAGTAGCAGAGGACACAAGTGCATGGGACTTTAGAGAAAAAGTGAACTCTGGTTCTCTCAAACAAAACTGAGATTTACCCTGTCATTTATAAATAAGTGCTTTAGTGAAAAGACTGATGTTATGGAGTACGTCATTCTCATTTTTTTTTATATATATAAATGCAATTTTATAAAGGGTTTATAAATGATCAGTCTTATCTCACATATTGACAGTGAGTGAATATATTTTGAAAACCCAAATGAATGCACATTTGATCTAAGTTTAAATGTATTCATCAATGACAGCTTACCCATCCAACAATGACTTTAAAAGCTTTGACCTCACCTTAATGCAGTCGACGGGCTGTTACTAGTCCAAACCTACACCTGCTCCCTTCTGAGGTCAGTGTATCAGAGTGCATTGATTTGAAAGAGGCCATCACTCACCAAAATGCAGTGAACTGTGGCATGTCATTTGCTGCATGACAAACCCACTCATGAAACACACATTGAACCCCACATGGCTTTTAAAAAAGCTATAATGCAACTCTTGTCTTCTGTCTATAGTGTTATAAATGAGCATTTTATCTACAGATTACTTATGAAATGAGAGACTCAGTGTGAGGCAGTGAGAAGAGAGGAAATGTGGTGCTTTGAGCAGATTATAGTAAGTTTAGCGATAGACTAGAGTTTCTTGCACAGAGAGAAGCAGAGAGATGGTGGTGTTGTGCAAAGATGAACACCGGGGCTCTCTCTGCCTCTGCTGCAGCTCTTGTGTGTCTGTTCACAGTTTACTGCAGTGTTTCTGTGGGTCACAGAGCAGAGACTTGTCTGTACTCACCACAGAAGAGCAAAACGCCTCATGTGTTTTCACCGGTGTCCAAAGGCACGTGCCCGGTGTGTGCGGAGCGCCTTATAGAAAGTAATGGAGGCAATAATTTTGCTGAGGGTCAAAGTGTCTCGTGTGCGTTGGCCACACATATCCCAGACCACAGCACCCTACAGTCAAGTGTAAATCCAGCATGAGCCCAGGGTAAAAATGCCATATTGTAGAATATTCCAGGCAAAGCAATAACCTCTCCATGTGGACAAGCAGATGGCTGAACCCCCAAAGAGAGATGTTACATAGAGCATCTTTAAGGTTTATAAGGAATTTCATAAACTTAATTTTTAATATCTTTACAGATGGTTGGAGAAATATAGTTATTGTAATGGTGGTCTGTATAATCATTTTACTGCTCGCCCTCGCCTTCTGCCTCCACAAAAGTATGTATTTACACTATCATGATCTCTTTAAACTCTAAACATTGTAGTGGAAAGCTGCATTGTATTTTACTGTATAATTTAATCACTGGCATTTCCTCTTTCAGAATGGTGCACTTTCACAAAACCAGTGGCCTCTCTCAAAGAGGTAAGTATGATTCTATAAAATGTGACCATAATGTAGCAGTACAGTACAGTACAAATAGCAGTGTGTTTCTGTATACCCAAAGCAAAAGCAGGCTTGATTACACTAATTTGATTAAGTTTAAGAATGAGAGAGAGCTACACAATAGGGACCGCTCTTTTTGAAGCAGAGCAGCTCAGTTAGGATGGACAATTTGGAGAGAAAAATGTACAGTTTATAGGATTTCGTTCAAAGTACATGTTTGAAATATGTCCAGGAGAAATCTGAAATATAAACACACACAAATCTCCTTTCTGAACATGTTGGTGCAGATCTAAACTATAGGGTTAGCAGTTTTATTCAGAATAAGATAGGAGATCTTGTTGTTTTTGGAGAAAATTATAGACCTAGGGCTTTGCGATTTGCTAATTGTGTTCATTGAAATAGTCATTTTTATTCAATAGTGATTAATTTTGCTGCCCTAGAGGAGCTATTGTTGTGTCTTGTAGGATTTTACAACATTCCAAATTATTCCCAAACTCACATTGTGCGACTGAACAGATGTCTTCAACACACAGGCAGTTTTGCTTTTACTCATTTTTTGGGTGAAAACATGCAGTCAGTGGTGGTACACACAATCTCCTTTTTGGTGTAAAATATCAAGAACCAGCATCAGAACCACAAGGAAACATCAGCTCATTCTTACAGATGTATGAACCCACTGCCAACAGACGAAAAAAGAGAAATAAAAGCTGATTAGCACTAACTGCGCTCAGCCCCTGGAGAACAGCGCCACACAATGGACATCTTATGAAATACAAACTCATTCATCCATTTAATATCTAGTTGCTTAAAGGGCCCATATTATTCTGTATTATGATCTAAGGTATGTTATTTCCTCATCAAAAACATAGCCAGAGTTTTGTTTTGTTTCATTCACACATGTAATGTAAATGTAAAAACTATATGTGGAACATTCAAAGCAAAGTAATAGCATATCTTTTTTTTTTTTTTAAACTGAAAAATTCAACATTTTAAACAATGTCTGTATATTCACTTATTTTGTCTATAACTTGTTTTTATGGGTGTGTTTAGAAGGAGCACTGCTATGATGAGATACAGGAGCGCCCCCAGCAGCTCAGTTCAGGAACTGTACTGAATACCGTCTATGCCACTGCTACGCTTGATCATATGAAGCCTGGGCCTCACAGCACTGGGCACAGTGCAGATGCAGTATTTAAAGACAATGTCCTCTACGTGCAGTACTGAGATTAAAGAAACTGTATGCAAGATTTTTATTTTATGTTCAAATAAAATATAGCTTTTAGTAATAACTATTTAATGTTGATTTATTTACGAAACCACTGCACATGTCTCATTTATTTATTTATTTGGTATAATTGATTTATAATTGATTTGGTCTGCGTATGTCACAACTAGTGCCCATGTCCAATGAGTAGTAGTTGTTTTTTGTTCTTGTACTGTTACAAAATTGATTACTTCTTCCCACTATGCAGTATCGAACTGGTATTGGCAGAGGTGGAACCAAGTCGTTGTTTTGCAAGTGTCAAGTAAGTCTAAAGTCTTTGACCTCAAGCCGGAGTCAAGTCCCAAGTCAAATACTGGCAAGTCCAAGTCGAATCTTTAGTCACTGACCCATAAGTCCAAGTCTTTAAACCAAAGTATCAAATATACCTTTGATTTTTGCAATGTATGTGACTTTGAAGATAAATTGTACTTTAAAAATCATACTATATTTGTATATGAGTATTTATAGAGTATGTAAGAGAGAGTAGAAATCAATTTAGTTATTTTTTCCTTTTTAAATCGACGTGACATTGACAAGATCGCAGTGTGAATTACAGTCAGAATAGAAAAAATTCAGATTTTAAAGTGCCTCTCAAGTCTTATCAAGTCACAGGCCTCAAGTCCGAGTCAAGTCCCAAGTCACTGACCTTCAAGTCCAAGCCAGGTCCCAAGTCTTAGTCCATTTTATCAAGTCAAGTCTCAAGTCCTAAAAATAGTGACTCAAGTCTGACTTGAGTCCAAGTCACAACTTGCAAGTCCCCACCTCTGGGTATCAGTATCAGCGAGTACACTAAGGCCAAGTATCGGTATCGGTGTCAGATCCTCCCCAAAAATTGGTATTAGAACAGGGGGCAGGGGCAGCAGAGGATCATTGGGCTTGACCTCTCAACCCCAACCCCCATTCAGACGGTGCATGCTGTTATTATGTCCTTGTGCAAGACACTTCATAAACTTCATCTCCAGTGTTGAAATACAGAAGAGGATGAATGTCTTGAATGAATGCATGTATATTCATTTGGATGCACCCCCACTCAACCCCACCACAAATCCATAAGACTCAGAATAATATTATGTGGAGGTCTCTGCAACATACCTGTCTCCTCCAGCAGAATGCGCTCTTCCATGCTCCTCTTCAAAAGGCAGCTGCAGTTCATACTTGGAGGTACTGTAACCTCTCTCTTTCCTTGATTCTTCAAGGAGGAGCAGATGAGCAGAGTAAAGGAGAAAGAAACAGAGGGGAGAGAAGCAGAGGAGAGGAGCAGAAGACAGGGGAGCAGAAGAGAGGGGAGGAGAGAGGAAAAGATGATAGAGGGGAGAGGAACATATGATAGAGGAAGCAGATGAGAGGGACAAAGAAGAGGAGCAGAGGAATATTGGAGCAGAGGAGCAGAGTAGAGGAGAGAGGAACAGAGGAGAGAGAAGCAGAGGAGAGGATCAGAAAAGAGGGGAACAGAGTGGAGAGGAGAGAGGAGCAGATCAAAGAGGAGTAGAAGAGAGGGGAGGAGAGAAGAGAGGAGAGGAGAGAAGAGGAGAGGAGAGAGGAACAGATGACAGAGGGGCAGAGGAGAGGAGCAGAACAGAGAAGAGGAGCCGAGGAGAGGGGAGCAGAGAAGAGAGGAGAGAGGAACAGAAGGGAGAGGAACAAAGAAGAGGAGAAGAGGAATATAGGAGCAGAGTAGAGGAGAGAGGAACAGAGGAGAGAGAATCAGACGAGAGGAGCAGAAGACAGGGGAGAGAGGAACAGAGGAGTAGAGGAGAGGAGCAGAAGAGCAAGGAGCAGAGGAGGGAGAAGCAGAGAAGAGGGGGAGAAGAGAGAGGAACTGATGATAGAGGAGCAGATGAGAGGAGCAGAGGAGAAAGAAGCAGAGGAGAGAAGAGAGGAACCGATGATAGAGGAGCAGATGAGAGAAATAGGAGAGGAGCAGAGTAGAGAAGAATGGAACAGAGGAGAGTGGAGCAGAGGAGAGAGGAGAGGGGAAAGGAACAGGAGAGAGAAGCAGAGGAGATGAGAGAGAAGCAGAACAGAGGAACAGAAGAGAGGGGAGCAGAGGAGAGATGTTAGAGGAGTAGAGAAGAGACAAGCAGATAGAGAAGAGGAGAGGAGGGGGGAGCAGTAGAGGAGTAGTGGTGAGATTAGAGGAGAGAGGAGAGGAGCAGAAGTGGGAAGAGAGAAGTGGAGGAGAAAGGAGAAGTGGACAGAGGACAGGGGGTTGGGTGGACTGAACATATTATGTATTATAGTTTTAGGACTTTTAAATCAAAATCAGACCAGAGTATTTGGTTTCCGATAAAGATGTTTGAACATGTTTTTATGAGTTTTAATGTCAAATTCTGAATGATTCAACAACACATCCTTGGTGATCCCTGTACTCGTGCTGATGCAATAGAACAAACTCCTCTGGCTCCAAAGGCCCACTTTTTGGATTTCTTGTCTGAATCCTCTATCAACTGTTTCAACTCAGACAGCAGCTTGTTCTCCACATGTTAGGCTGTGTGTTTTCGTACAATCCGACTCGTGTTCACGGAGAAATTACAGTAATGAGGAAATGTAATTAGTCACACCTAAATGCAAATATACACACATACAGCGGAGAGCATCACTAGTGGGAAGCTGTCGGATTTGAAAGTGTTTGTGCAAGCACCACACGAGAGCTAGAGCACAGAGAAGGAGAGCGAGCGCTGAAGGAGCCCACTGTCTCGTAACCATTCCTCCCCAAATACACCAACAGGCCGAGAAAGGCGATCCAATTCAAAGTAAGAAAGCATGTGTTTGTGGTATTTTTTGACCCAAATAAAGATATATGTTTAATTCTATACTGTGGCACATTCCAGGTAAAGCAGTATCATTTTTCATGGAGACAAGAAGTTTCACGTTGCACTTTTAAAAGAAATGTAATCCTTTTTTATTATTTTTCTTTGCTTTTTAAAAATAAAATTATGATCCAAAATGCTTCCAATTTGTGTTAAATTTTGTTAAAATGTGTAAAACAATAAAATAGCAATGAGTACCTTGACTAGTATTTATATGTGTGTACTTTTTACTTTTACTTAAGTAGAAATTTGGCAGCAGTAACTTTGATTGAGAACATTTTTAGCAGTTTAAATGTACTTTTCTTCCTGGTGTGCAAGACTAATATGGACATCCTATGAATATTGTAGAACTAAAGGCCTTCATATGGGAACCAAATTACATTATATGTAAATTTGGGAAGTTGTGTATCATGTCATTTCTTTGTTTTGGGCAAATGAGCTTTTTGGTAACACTGTGGATTTGTTTTGCCACCCTTGTATGGGCTTGTGAGACAGAAGTTAGAAAAAGAGGAAGGCCTTTGAAACCTCACAAGGGGCAAATCAGAGGAAACTATTCATCAGCACCGTCAACATGAACAACGCACTTCTCTTTGTCCTTGTACTGATCACAGGTAAATATTATTTGTGATTTTATTTTAATTTAATTTATTATGAAGACTACAGGGCACCGACTTAAATCATCATTTTACTTCAAATAATATCTTGTACCATCATGAAATATCCACAAATTCACAAATGTTTACTTCACTATATTTGAGAGCAAGTATCTGTACTTTCTACTCCAGTACATTTTTGAACAAAACTGAAAAGTATTTTTATTATTGTTTTAGACCTGCTGAAAAGGCTGAAGGTTTATTTTTTTTTTAACATGTTCAAAGTTTGATACAAATAAAAACAGCTGGGAAAAATCTATTCAGTTGCTTCTGTTAAAAAAATCTGCACAAATCTTTTGTTAAATCACCACATCTGAAGCTTTATAAGATCTCAAAAAAGTTTTTAGTACATTTTTAAGTAAATACTTTTGCTTAAGTTGATTTTTTATTTGATATTTTTACTTGAGTATTTTTTTCTCCAGTATCTGTACTTTTACTTATGTAACAAAACTGAGTACTTATTCCACCACTAGCACACACATAGTCTGATACCAGTATAAAAGTTCTATTGTTATTTATATGTTTGTTACATTTCCCATAGATAAATACAAGTTTAGATGAAACTTTCAGCCCCAGTTTTTAAAGCTCACTACTGTCTGCAGGACTTGTGGTGCTTAATGAACTTAAATTAAAATGTCATTGTCCAGTTGTTGTGAATCACTATATTTGTGGTGCTCATTTGTCCATGGTAACGTTAGATTTAAGAAATGTTTATTACTTGGTTGGTAGCATGCATGCATACTTAAGTAAAAGTAAAAAAAAAGTGTACTAGTTACTGACACAGTTTTGGAGACATTGTTGAACACTTTTAAATCCAGGTCAGTCATAGAAGCTTAAAGAAGTAATTTTAGATGAATACTGCATTTTAAAATGTAACATAATGATCCTGGAGCGTCAGAGGTTATAATTATATACTGTAGCAGACACAAGCACAATATGTCTTCTTTAAAGTGTAACGAATTAGAATAACATGGCTAGAATTATACTCAGTTACAAGTACAAGTAAGGGTTTAAAAATCTATATTATTTGATTTTTGATTGTTCGTATCTGTGATTTGTGAGAGGTTTTTCGTAGTTTTCATAGTCATAGTCTCATAGTCAACTCCTCCATGGAAAAGCATTAGAGCTAATGAATGAAGCCTATAGAAGTTCTTTTTGCAATATACTAAATGTTTCTATCAATACTCATGATATATTCTATTCAAAATCATATAATTTAGTGGACATTTTAGTAGTTTTTGTCTTGCAGGATGTGAGGCTGCACATCTACCGGTCAATGGATGTGGTAAAGGATGTAAGGCTGCACCTCTGTCAGTCAGTGGATGTGTTGGAGGCTGGTTTGAATTCACATGTAACATACGTAACAATGGTGAACTACCAGAAGTTTCTACTGAAAGAGGTACATTAAACAGACAAGACTCCGAAGAAATAAGTAAGTGGACACTGGACACAGAAACATCACTGTACTGGTACCACAATACAACTGGCAAATACTTGAGACTGTCTGTCCAACAACTCACCCAAAACGACTTTGGCGACTACACGTGCCGGTTGACTAAAGAAACAACAATAAACCTGCAAAGCGGTAAGATGTATCTTAAAATGATTGACCACCAGTGCATATGACAGTTTTTTCTAAATCTAACTTGGTTTGGTGGGATAGTACCTGTGGTAAATTTTTGTCATAGTTTTACATCAGCTAAGTTGCTGTTTGTGGAAAAAGTTTGAGAAAAGTACATCAAGAATACAAGAAGTAGCAGTGAGTTCTAAAACGTAACTTGGAAAATTAGAGACAATTTATGCACATGGAAGATACTTTTCTGACATTTTCATTAAGCAAAATAAACATGCTGTTATTTGTTATTCTAATCATAACTATTAGACAACAGTTTAAAGGCTCTTGTTGTAGTGAATTCTCGTAAGGCCGTTGTAGGCCGTCTTGACATTATTATTATTGCTTTTGTTTGTTTGTTTGTTTGTTTTTTTAGGTGGTCAATGCCTCAAACTCTCCAACCTAACTGCTAACAGAGGGGCAAATCATACCATCAACTGTACTATCACCTGTACTGAGTCTGAAGTGAACTTTATCTGCAAAAATGACACATCCACCTGTATCAGAAAGAGCTTAGGACGTAATTACACCATCAGTCATGTGTCAGAACAGGATCAAGGGGACTATTTGTGCGGCTGTCAATCACCAAACTCAGATTACAGAGTGTCACGAGAGAAAATACAACTCCTTGGTAAGAGTTCAAGCTGCATTTAACTCATTTTTTACACACAGATCATCATTTGACATTCTGTTCATTGTAAAGCACAATACTGATCAGAAACAGCTCAAAGGGCCTGTACCTGATGTGTTGTATTTTATTTGATCCAACATTTCTCCTGCCCCAGTACAGATATATTTTGTATGAGCTGCTCTTGAGGTCAAGTAAGTCCACTGTGTGCAATCTGAACCAAAAAGTGTGATGGTAAAGCTCTGCTCTGGCCTCTGAAAGTTGTGAAAAGCACTCATACAAAATCATGACTGTGAATAATTAGGATGCGCAAATGCATAGTGAGGAGTTACTTCACTTCTTACATATCTTATACTTACTGCAAACTGTTTAAAATGATCTAGTTCTGTTTATCACATTTTAAACAATCAAAACAAATATCTGATCCTGGAATCGATCTCCTGATACTGACCAGTGACCAAATTTTTTGAATACAAATGTTTCTAAATTATACATTTTTTACATCTTCCACAGTATTACCTATTATTCCCACACAGTCCCCACACAGTACAGGTGAGTTAAGATTGCATTAAAACAGACGTATTATGTCATAGTTGTTTCATCTTCTCATTTAATCTCTTGAAGTTGTATTTGAAGTGATTTGTGATCGAGTATTATTATTATTATTATTATTATTTTCTACTTCTGTTTTCTGTTTACATCACCACTGCCATACTCCCACTGCTCTGTACTTTTTTTGTTCTCCAATTTTATTTTATTAATTGGTGATACACGTAGGATGAGCAACATCTCAGTTATTTTGGTGAACATTTTTAAACACCTGCTCCCAGCAATATCCAAAAAAAAAAAAAAAAAAAAAAAAAAAAAAAGCTTGGAATTGATCTCTTCACTCTGGCCAATGAAACGTAATATTTATTTTTCTTTTTTTCATCTTCCATCTACAGCACTACCTCAATCGAATACTACACAGTCACAACACAGTACAGGTGAGTTGAGCTTGATTTAAATCAGGCCTTTATTTTGCTGCAATCTTAAATATCTTAAGTTGCATTATTATTTTGAAATTCTGTCAAAACCCCCAAAATATACCTCATATCACATTCTAACAATTTCCAGATTCTAGCATCCAACCTAAATAATGGTCATCTTAATTAAATCCTAATGTGTGTTGACAAGTAACTTAATGAAACTACAACATTAAGACATTTTGACTTTTGAAACACATTTCAATTTTTTTCAAAACAAAGTACAGAAGTTTGAACTGGGGAATTTTCACTCAGAAATAATTAAATGTTTTGAATAATTATTAATGGCCTACTTTAAACGCAAGTATTAATGAACTTATTTTGACTGAAAAAAGATGGTAACGGGTACTTATATTAAGCAGAAATAAAGTTTTTTTTTTTGGTTTTTGGTTCACCAGGAGTTTAAAGGTGCACTGTGTAGTATTTCTAGGGGCACGTCTGCCATTTGCTTGACTCCTTGGAAATGTTATTGCTTTGCCTGGAATGTCTATATGTCATTTATTCAACTGTGTGGTTAGCACCTGTAGTTGGCTTTTTCACATGTTTGTCAGACAAGTCCATGGCAAACACTCCTCCAGGAAAGTTACATAGTGCATTATTAAGCAAAATACAAAAAAAGCGAAATAGTATAATGATCACGAGAGACAGAAGAGACTGACAAAAACTGAGAGAGAGAAAGAAAATGATTAGTGCTCACTAGATGCTCACCAGAAACACACAAGTTCAGAACTCTCAACTCAACTCAACGGCAAACGGTTTAAATACCAACAAAGATTTTTAACATGGCTTTGACCTCACCTAAAAATGGTTGATGTGTTGGTACCAGTCGACACTGGTGCCAAAAGTGGTAAGATCTCAACTATGGTCAATCTGGATGATAAAGCATTTGCACTTTAATCGACAGGTCTACAGCCAGTCGTAGAGCAGTAAGAGTGCATGGTGCTGATGAGGATTTGACGCTGTCCTGTTTAGGAAATAGCAGTCTGAGCCACATTGAGTCTCTTTGTTTCCTCAAGAGGCCTCGTGTTTCACAAATTTTGGCTTAAATCTGCACAATTTCATTAAAGGTCCAGTGTCTCTCTCCATCAGCCTCTGTGTGTGCGGTGCCATCTCCTCTTTCTCTCCTCTGGTGCTTCTTATCATTGTGATCCAAGTTATGGAAAGCAAAACTTCTCATTGTTTATGAGTCAAATATAAGTCCTGATTCAGTGCATGGACATCGTACGCTTTACTCTTGAGAGCAGTTGCGTGCACATGTTTCTGTCGCTAACAGTAACAAGCATATGGATTTAGGCTTAATATACTGTACAAACTCATTCCAAACTTTAAATGTGAATTTCTCCAGAATTATTGGTGCTATCAATACAAAACAAAAACAAAAAACTGTAGTGATCCTGACAGACTGCTTTTTATGTCTGTCTGTGTTTTCAATAAGACGGAAGAAGATCGAATCAAAATCAACATTTTTCCCATGTCACCCAGCCCTAGGACACCCTCTTCATAATTCATAATTAGTGGTCTTTGAGGGCTAATGCTAATATCTATATGAATGAAAGAATAACAGGGACAGACTATGGTGTTCTAAAATCTTCCTGGACTAGCTGAGTTACTAAGTGCATGAGCACGTGTTCATGTGATAGATATTCATTTATAAAGGGAAAAGTGCTCACAGAGGGATTCGGTGTCCGACAACTCTTGACAGAATTAACAGGAGCACTGCAACAGCTCTGTCTTCAGCATCGGACTGTGCGGAGTTTGTCTGAGCTCCTCTCCTCTGTGGTTTGAGCTCCTCTGTGGTTTGAGCTCCTCTGTGGTTTGAGCTCCTCTGTGGTTTGAGCTCCTCTGTGGTCTAAGCTCTTGAGATTTATACTGACTGGAAAGTGTCGCATGGGTTCACATGATAACAAACATCTAATGATCTGAAAATTGCTCCAGACCTCTGTGGTGTCCAGGAAAAAAAAGACTCCTTGCAGATTCTTTCTGCAATCCACGCCTCACCTGTACTCACACCTCGCTGAGGTCAGTCTAAATCTTGCATGAGCCCAGGGTGAGAATGTTATATGGTGGAACATTCGAGGTAAAGCAATAACATCTTCATGTGGACAAGCAGATGGCTGAACCCCGACAAGAGATGTTACATAAAGCATCTTTAAGTTGATACGGAAATTGACAAACTTTATTTTTTAATATCTTTACAGTTAATGCTTCGATAATTATAGCTGTACTTGCAGTGGTTTGTGTAATCATTTTATCGCTCGCCATCGCCTTCTGCTTCTACAAAAGTATGTATTACACAGTCATGATCTTACATTCTCAAAGTATTTTGCCTGTATAATTTAATTATTGGCATTTCCCCTTTCAGAATGGTGCTTTTTTGCAAAACCAACGCCAGCTCTCCTAGAGGTTAGTATGATTATATAAAATGTGACTCCCGGGGTGGAGGGGGCTCTGAAGTCTACCAGGAGAGTTTGCAAAGCAGTGGCCAATTGACAGTTTGCCTGCTCTCTTTTTCAGTGTGGTTGTTTAAAAACTAAAATGGTCTAAACAAATCACCCAAATATGTCATACCCCCCAAAAAACAAAACAAAACAAATAAATTCATACAGTCTGCTGCATTTTAGTTATTATTATTATTTTTTTTTTTACCAGTAATAATGGGCTTTGGACAGCTTTTTGTGTTTTTGTGCAGTTAGCACTTTGTCATTTTAAAGCCTTCACAATTAGGTCCATTCTGCAGTTCATCAATGCAGATGATTTTATTTTGAAAGGGCCACAGGAAGTGTTTAGTTGTTAACAGCACCCTGACAAAGCAGTATGCGCTGGAGGAACTTCTCAAACGTTTTGGGCAACATGGGAATTACCAAAGAACAATGAAACAAAGCAGAATGAAATCATGCACAGGAAGAGTCTGTGCCTCACTCTGTGCCACCAGAAAAGCATATATAGAGCACCTTTTAGATTAGACATTTTGTAGCTGAATAAAATTAGCAATGACTGTATTTTATTTTGTCTATAACTTGTTAATATGGATGTGTTTTGAAGGAGCACTGCTATGATGAGATACAGGAGCGCCCCCAGCAGCTCAGTTCAGAAACTGCAGTTCAAACCGTCTATGCCACTGCTACACTTGATAATGTGAAGCCTGGGCCTGACAGCACTGAGGACAGTACTGATGCAGCATTTGAAGACAATGTCCTCTATGAGTAATGCTGATATTGATGGAACTGTATGTAAGATTTTTATTTTAAATTTAATAAACGTCCCCCAGATAAAAAGGCAAACATGTTAAAAGTCAGATCTTGTATGGGTTGGGTCACTGAAAACTGGCAACTTTGACATTAGCTAGAACAGTCCGATGGGTTTTTTAGATGATCTGAAAAGATACAAGCTGGATTTAAACAGCACATTTTCTGGAGCCTATAATTAATAAGAGCATTCATGGTCCTGTTCAGATGTGACTAACTGAAAAAACTGTTGGCTAGGATGAACTTGTGACAGTAATATTATGTGAGAGGGACTTATTTAACAGTAAAAATCAGGTCACCTGGATTAAATAAAGTAAAATAAAACTTAGATTAAAAAGATAAATTGAACAAAAAGTTTATACAGAGAAGAGTCAACACTGAGAGTATAAAAAATACTTCTAAATTCAGGTTTAGGCACTGGCAACCAAGGTTCAGTTGCGATTATTATTACACTATTTTTGATCCGTTATAACGTCTCGTCATCAAAAAGAAACCTGGAGTTGTGTTTTGTTTCAAGCACATATGTTTATCCCTGCATATTTAGTGCTTTTCTCAAACAGAAAACACTGTAGTCTGGTCCACCTTGTAATATCATATGGCAATACAGGAAGTGCTCCAGTGTGTTTTTAAACTTCACACACCTTCACTAATCGCTTGGATAATGTCAGACCTAGAACTGCCCATCTCTACTGAACTGAACTGAAGGTAAATGTTAGCTGTGAAATGAAAAACTACTGCTTCATCACAAGGTGGACCGGAGCATTTTGAGCTTTGGAGATGCAGACAGACTAATAATAAAAGTGTTACTCAAACATGAACGAAACAAAACACAACTCAAGGTTTGTTTTTGATTAAGTAACAACATTATAACAACACTTAAAGCTCACAAGAGTAATTTTTGCATAATATATGACCTTTAAATACCAACTTTTCTCTGTAAAAGCTTTGGGAATCTAAGTAATTAATTCAAACCTGCTAGTGTGGAATAGACTCAAACACATAATTTGGTTTCTGTAGGGCTCTAGTGCTCTGACAGGTTTTTATTCATGCCATTATATTATTGTTTCTAGTATTTGTAAATATTGTAAATGTATAATAATAATTTTTAGTATTTCTTCATGACTGTATATCACCTGAAAACAACAAGCAGTCTCTGTGTATTTTTTTTATTTATTTGCATGTTATTAAAAACATTTTTGCATTTGCGTATGAGTGTAATGAATTGTGTATTTTTGCGAAATGTCCCCAGGGTATAATGGTTATCTTACAGTCATAACACAACATACTGTAACATTAGTAGAGTGTACAGGTAAGCTGCAATAGCAAAGCAAACCAGTCAGTGTGTGGGTCCAGCCATTACAGGTGGAATAAAATAGGGTTAATATTGGATATGAGGCAGACTGAGACGCTGCTGCAGTGGTGAGGCTCCACCCTGAAGCTGGGTGAAAAGATTAACAAAGAAAAAACATTTCCACGACCGAAAACACCTACTTACAAAAAGTGTCATTCTAATAAATATTCAGGAATAAGACCACCCTCTAAAGTGGGTCTCCTCCACACACAGTTACCTGAAGTCCTACACCAACTGCAGCACTACAATGTTAGGATTAAATGTGTTTTCAACAAGGTCATAGGTTTGGTCTCAGCTTTGGTCTTTGGTCAGTGGAACATGCCCAGAGCACCTCCCGAGGAAGGTGTCCAGGAGGCATCGGGAACAGATGCCCAAGCCACTTCAGCTGTTCATCTCCACGTGGAGGAGCAACAGCTCTACTCCGAGTTTCTCTGCAAAATACAAGAAGTACCAGTAGAACAGAAAATCTCTATAATTTTATTTGTCAACATCATAACCATTGTGTAATTTAGAATACTTTTAGAATACAGTTACTTTCTCAAATCAAAGGAATACATGGCCATACTTCATCATGTAACTGTTTCTTCGGTGATTGGACATAAATTAATGTATAACAAACAACAAAAATCAAGCTGTTTTTATACTATTATAATATGCTCTGTAAATATCTAAGTATCGAAGATCTAAGTACTTAATCTGACTGAATCCTCCAACAGAATATCTTAAAAATACATTTAAAGCTGTTATTCATTGTTCTGTAACTAAATACATTTTCGCTATTCTTCCCATCACTGTCCATGTATGACTTACCTGCTGCCCGTGTCCAAAAGAAAAATACATAAACTTCACCAAAATGACAAAACTAGAAAAATAGTATTTGTAATAAAATCTTAAATATAAGTTAACTAATTTTTAGAGAAATCCCATATTACATGCATTTAAACAACTATGTTAATTTATATATTTAATTAATATGTTAATATTTCTATCTATTGCTGTTCTTGTAATGTCTCTGCATCATTTTCATATAATTTAAATATTGCGCTCAACTAACCTACTATTCCGCGTGTATCAATTATGCAAAGTTTTTCTCATAACTGTCGAAATAACTGTGCTGTTATATATATATACAAAAAAAAGCAAATCAGAATATAATGGGAGTGAGGACAGTGAAGAGTTTACAGCTGAAATGAATGAACACTGAAGCAACATGCGGCATCTTCTCATCCCCACCATTTTACTAATTACAGGTACAATTTTTGATTCATTTTCTAGTAGCTTATTAATACTGACAAAACTAGCAACTTAGACAATGGGCCCGGTCAAGCAGAAGTAAACAGCAAGGCCAAAATTTCAAGTTAATGCATTTGATATAAAAATGTGTTCAACAGATAGCATATGTACTCTAGTTTATGAAACTGTTTACCTTTTTTCTGTACCATTTTTGGTTCGAAAGTTACATACGTTTTAAAAAGACCATGTATGAAACATGGAACAAAAATTATTTCCCAAATTTCAAAAACCTGCAAATCATATAAATAATTTGATGTATTTCATCATATCTTGTGATTCGATCTTTGAACTGTTGATGAAGGTACGTGATTAAAAAAAAAAAAAAGTATTTAAAATGATACAAATTTGCTTGGAAGGACTGACATTTTATAGAAATAGTTTCCTTTCATTCTGAAGTAATATTAACGTATTCGGAAGAAAAAAGCTGACAAATTTTGCAAAATCATGCACCTTCTACTTGCTTGCACAATTTTCCCTCCGTTACTTTTCCCTCCGTTACCATGACCTTTCTTAATAAAAAATCTCATTACTCAAAAAGTAAGAGGTTTTTCAACCTAATCTTGTACCATATGGTAGAAAACTATATGAAGCAAATATTCAAACCAGTTTGTTAAGGATATGTGAGTGAGAACTGGTAGTTATCACTGTTTGGATTTATTGCCCAAAAAGTGCTGCATATTTCATTCCCACCGTTACGTTACATGAGTTTTTAAATTTTTTGTCAAAAACTTGAAAGAATATCGCAGGGTTAACTTTACCCTGTTGGAGTGTTAATTCTTTCCTACATTCTGATACCTTACTTATTTCAATAGTCCCTCTAGTTTCTGAATAAGAGCTATTTGAATGTAAAAAATCTGCCCCGTTTCCCTCCGTTACCGCTTGACCGGACCCCAATGTAATTTAGACTTTCCTCATTTTTATTGTCTTAAAAAACATGAAAACCAGAACTAGTTGTTTTAAATTTTTGCATTGGTCCAGTTATTTCTCACTTACCTTATGCATTCTGAGCATTCTAATTGTTTGGTGCAATGAGTTTATAAGCGTTTTTCACAACTTTCAGATGCCAGAGCAGAGTTTTGCTGTCATAGCTAACTTAAGTTGTATGTTAACAGTGCACTTCCTGATTATCGGACATATGTTGTATATATGTTGTATAATTAGATACAGACAGGACACAGCAGAGTTACTTTTTTTTACCTCAGCAGCAGCTGACACCATACAGGTACCTCTAAAATAATTCAAGTGTCATGAAAAATGTCTATATTTTTTGTCACTCACTTCAGAAAGTCAAACCCAGATATTATATAAAATATTTTAAAAGTTTATTTCTTGAAATGTTGATGATTGTGGCTTACAGAAAATGAAAACCAAAAATTCAGTCTCTCAGAAAATTTGAATATTATAAATTCTTGAGTGAATTTTACTTGACAATCCTCTCAAGGCTGCAGTCATCCCTTTTGCTGGTGCATCTTTTCTACATTTTTTCTACAGAGCTGAAAACAAACATTTCTTTAGCAATGAGACCATTTAAAGACTCAGGAAACCTTTGCAAGTGTTTTGAGCTAATAAGCTGGTTAGGGTGTGACACCATCACTTCTCAATCTTGAACTTATTCACAGCACTGAATTTTGGGATTTCATTATTTGGAAAATTTCAAGAAATAAACTCTTGAAATGTTTTACTTTGTGTCATGAGTCTTTATAATATATGAGTTTGACTGAAATGAGAGGCAAAAATATTGTTCATGATCTTTGTTGTTTTTTTTGTTGTTGTTGTACCTGTATATCTGCATAGCAAATACATGGAAAACAATGGGTAACTGGTACCACAAAATACTACTAATACTACTACTACTACTACTACTACTACTACTACTACTATTAATAATAATAATAATAATAATAATAATAATATGCTTTTATTTTTTTCTGCTGCAGTTTTGTGGTCCTTTAATGTCTCTGTATCTGTGTCTGTGTGCGTTGGAGACTGGGTTGAATTCACCTGGACATACGGGACATATGGACAGAACTATACAGTGAATAACATCACAGTAAATACTCCCAGACAAATAATAACAAGTACCAAGAAGGATCAATGGGACAATGTGACGTCTACATACGCGATATACCACAACACCACAGACAGATCTGTGAAGGTGACAGTGAGACCAGTTGAAGAGAATGATACAGGATGGTTTGACTGCATCTTTTATAAGTGCAATTCCAGGATGTACAATCTTTACGTGAGAAATGGTAAAATATGGCTTTCTGATAATTGTACTGATGATAAAAAGAATTTAAATATTGAATATAATGTAATGCAATGATATCTGCGTTTGTTAAAGAAGATCTATTGTGCTTGTGTCTGCTTTATAGTTAGAATCTATGACACCCGTTATATTTTGCACATTTTTAATTGCTACTAGAGCTTTTAAAGCTTCTTTCAACATAACTGTACTGTAATATGTTACCCTCTGTTTCTACAGACTGTTCTAATAAAACCATCACACAAATCGCCTTCATTTCAGCTCATACCACCATTTCCTGTAATGACCCATATGACTCTGTCTGTAAAGAGGAGACCTACACCTGTGATGCACTCTACACTGTCCCTTATGAAGGGCACAGCATCACTGATGTGAGGGCAGAGGACCAGGGGGTCTACTGGTGCACCAATGAATCACAGAGCTATGGCTACAGAGTGTTTCGACAGAAAACAATACTTAAAGGTATATATTATGGACATTGTATTATTTTGCTTAAAATAATAATTTTGCTAAAGAATAACATTATGCAAAATGTACTTTTTACTATAATTTTTATGAATAGTAATAGTATGCCAGCAGCTGGAGCTTCATTGGCGACAGGTGTATAAGTAAAACGTGTTTTCCAAATGTATATTTTAAATGTGAAAATATCATCTCAAAATAACCAAGAGCATGTTCAACAGGGAATAAGAGCCAAGAATGTATAATGTGTTATTGAAAATGTTAAAAGCTGCAGTTTAAACTTTGGGGTTTAAATTAGGGTCTCGGATTGAGATGGTTCACAAATACTGGTACATTTTAAAATGAAACTCCACTTAATGTTATTCATTTCAGTCTTTGCAGAAAAAGTATTTGTGCCGGGCTGCTCTGGTGGCTGGGTCGAGTTCATCTGGCCATATACAGACTTTAATGCAGAGCACACAGTATCTACTCCAGCGTACACCATAAGGAGTACCACAGAGGATCAGTGGGAGCAGGTGATGTCTGTTTATTACCTGTACAACGACACCACAGGGCGATATCTGAAGATGATTGTGAGGCCGATTCAAAAGGAGAACTTTGGGTGGTACTACAGCAGCCTTGATGAAACAAAGTTATTCAGTGTAACCTCTGGTAAGATATTATCTCAAAGCAATCACTCTGTTCCACCTTAGGTAGAGTGAAAATCCTTAAGCTTTTATCTCCTGTTTCTACAGATCATTCTTATTGTCATCAAGGAATCACTCAG